CACTATGTTAATCTGATTTACACTTGAGCTTTTGCACTCTTTTTTGATGCCTGCACGTAGTTCCGTGTATTTTTCTTGATTTTCAACAGTTATTATTATTATTATTATTATTATTATTATTATTTTGTTTTCATTCTAATTTATATATAGATTCAGATCCAGATTTCTTTCTTTACAGATCCACATTTCAAAACGAAAATGAAGATTTCAGTGTTGTTCATTTTTGTGCTCGTACAATTGGTAGTTCTTGAGATCCATTGTGAGGTATTCAAGCTTGTCTTACTTTGAAATGATTATTTTAATTTCCATGCATATATACTAGTATATAGATATATTTTTATAATATTTTTCTTTATTTCTATTTTAATATATATATATATATAACAAAGTATGTAATGTCTCGTCTTTAATCCAATTTACTATATATATATATATATATCGTATAAAATTTATCATTATGGATAAATAAAGATATTATTATTGTGAGGTACTCAAGCTTATCTTGAAGATTATTAGTTCAAACGACAAGTCACTCTTTAGGAACCATTGACATTAGGGACGGGGATTGATTAAAAAATCTCTATACCCATACCAATCAACACATCGACCATACTTTTCATTACACTATATAAAAACCTACAACCCACCTACCTACAAGTATCACAACCAAAATCAACCTACTTACCAATCCACAAACCTATACCTACCTATACCTACCTATACCTCCCTACCTCCCTACCTACCTATTCGACCCTATGGTTTGTTTGAAAGTAAACAAAACTGAGTTATTTCTTTCTTCTGACAGGAAATTCGTGAAAGAATGATAGCACAGGTTAGTTTACATAATGAAAGTTTTTTTGCCAACGAAGAAAAATGACCTTATTTCAAAACCATCATGATTGGAACTGAAGAAGTAAGAAAACAAAAGTCGTTTTTATTTTTCTAGGAGCAGGAATTTGATCGCGATGCAGGTTGCTCTACCTGGAACGGCACCTGTAAAAGAAGGCTAGCAAAGGTAGGTTTACATAACCAAAGTGTTACTTACTCACAAACTAACTGAGTTTGAGAAAGCCGGTTACCTTAGTTTAAAATTATGTGTAAAGAAGGAAGAAAACTAAAACAGTTCCTTTTTTCCCCGGAGCAGAAACTTCGCGATGCGGGTTGCTCTACCTGGAACGGCACCTGTAAAAGAAAGATAAGAATGGTAGGTTTACRTAACCAAAGTTATTTACCAACGCTTCTCATACTCATTAATAATTCATGAGKAAACCAGCCAATCAATGGGCTATTTTTTTGGGATCACATGATGTTACTTGAAACCTGGTAAAGTCCTGTGAAAGGACTGAATTAATTTTGTTCAAGTCCTTGGACTGGATCAAAATTAATTCAGTTCAGGGACATATCTGTCCCTTAAGTCTTTCAATCCTAAACAAATAACCTTCCGAATTATTAATGAATATGAGAAGTCATTTCAAAGCCTCCAAATCGGACTGGACGGGATTTCAAGTCGTTGCAATGGGAACTAATTGCGCGGACTTGAAATCCCGTCCAGTCCTCATTGTCGGCTTTGAAATATTACTTGAAATACGTAAAGTTTGAGAAAGGTTGCCTTAGTTCAAAACTATAGTGGAAAGAAGAAATAACAAAAGTCGTTTTATTTTTCTAGGAGCAGGAACTCCGCGATGCGGGTTGCTCTACCTGGAACGGCACCTGTAAAAGAAAGAYACAAAAGGTAGGTTTACATAACCAAGGTTATTCACCAACGCTTGAAATACTCAAAGATTGAGAAAGCTGGTTACCCTTGTTAAAAACTATAGTGGAAAGACGGAAGAAAACAACAGTTGTTTCTTTCTTTTTTAGATGCGGGAACAGAAACGTCGCGATGCGGGTTGCTCTACCTGGAACGGCACCTGTAAAAGGTTAGTTTACTCATTATTGAATAATAAGTCAAGTATTAGGACACCAGAACTGATCTCCAAGACAGGAAACTTACCTTCCAATATCTGGTTAAAACCTTGTACTAATATAGTTTGTACAGTAACACTACCAACTTTTCAACTGATTAGTACTGACAAAAAAAATTGTTTGCTACCGGCTTTGAACTGTTCTCAGGTGAGAAAATATCGAGCGAGTGCGAGAGCTACCTCAGTTATTTCATTAAAAATGTTTACCTACCTACCTACCTACCTACCTACCTACCTACCTACCTACCTACCTACCTACCTACCTACCTACCCACCTACCTACCCACCTACCTACCTACCTACCTACCTACCCACCTACCTACCCACCTACCTACCCACCTACCTACCTACCCACCTACCTACCCACCTACCTACCTACCTACCTACCTACCTACCTACCTACCCACCTACCTACCTACCTACCTACCTACCTACCCACCTGTAATATTTGTAATAATAACAACTCTCTTCTATTTTCTTCCTCAGGAAATTGCAACGCTAATGGAAAACTCTGAAACACCTTGAAATCATAATATTTCAAGGAATTGAATGATTAAAACTAAATTAGAGTAAACCATAGTCTACTTGTTTGTCCTTCTTTTAAAACGCGTTGTTATGAACAGGACGTGAAAACAGTCGAAATGGCGCTATGGATGTGGCGTTGCGACGTCAACGGTCGTTTTGAAAGCCATTAGTCATCGCTCGCGCGCCGTCCTCTTTCGCGCCATTTCCACGCTCACGTGACAACCTTTGTCAATCTTTCTTTCTGTCAGTCTGTATCTGTCTGGCTGTCAATCTTTCTTTCTGTCAGTCTGTGTCTGTCTGTCTGTCAATCTTTCTTTCTCTTTCTTTCTGTCAGTCTGTGTCTGGCTGTCTGTTAATCGGCTTTTTTTCTGTCAGTCTGTGKCTGKCTGTCTGTCTGTCTGTCAATCTTTCTTTCTGTCAGTCTGTGTCTGTCTGTCTGTCTGTCAATCTTTCTTTCTGTTAGTCTGTCTCTGTCTGTCTGTCAATATTTCGTTCACTTGGCTTCCGGCGGCTTTTCATACGAGAATGTTCGGAGTGTGATCAGTGATTGGTTGATGCTATCTATGATGCTATCGAACCACCTGCTTCTTATCTTTTAGTCACAAACTTGATATCATTTATTTGAAATGAGTCATCGTTAAACAAGTAACACTCGATATATACAAAAATGTTCAATATACAGATAAGAATCTGGAAATGAAGCAGTTTGAACAAAATAACGTCTTATCTCATCAGCTGTTTCTTTTTTTCTAAAATTGTTTTGGTATTACGTGAGGAAGTAACTGATAGGCAAATTGTACAGCCAACTATAGACACGACAAAAACAGGCAATCAGACAGTCGTACCAACTATGACAGGATCTCTGTAGCGAGTTAATTTTAAAGTCAAAGCTTTTGCAACAACAAAACAAGGAGTATTTATTGGTTTTTGACATTGAATTRGTGGCTTAATCTAGTAAACAAGCAGAATCTCAGTACTCTATGCCTGAAAGATTGATCGCAGCTTTTGAATCATAAGGATTTGTATTCATGATGAATACAGCTATAAGAAAAGACTATCTAGATCATGATTTATGCTTTGAGCGATGCACATCTCAAATGCTTTTCACCTGTACCGAATTTTCGTGAAACGCTCATGTAGACATGTTTACTAGTTYATAGCTAATCTTTCTCTGGGAGATTTAAAAACATATTGACGTCACTCTGGATTCATCAAAAGATCAGATTTGATTTAAGYAAAGTAGAAGCACGCCTTGCTTTTCTATGAGGTCATGCAATATTAAACGTATAAGCAAGAGAACTTAATTATTTTCTATTGGTAAGAGGCTTGTTCAAAAAAATTAATCCTCTAGGTTAAATATCCCAAAACGTTAATCACTATAAATTTGATAAAGGGCGAGAATCCGCAACTTTATATTGTATGAACAAGAGTAGAACTGTGATGAGGCTACAGGCAAAGACTAGTGTCATAGCTGACTAGTGGTTTTCGATTGAATATTGAACAAATTAATTTCTAATTAGGATTTGCTTGTCTGCTATGTTCGTGCTTCTTCATTGTTGGCGTRCTTTCTAATTTTGAAGTTTTCAAAAGAGCGCTTAACAACTATCCCAGGATAAATGTGTATGGTATGGCTATTAAGTGCTTCATTATATACGCAAGAAATTGGTAGGGGAAGAAAGGAAAAGAAAAGATCTGGAGAGGAGAGGAGAGGAGAGGAGAGGAGAGGAAAGGAAAGGAAAGGAAAGGAAAGGAAAGGAAGAATGAAATAAATACCAGCAGTCATATTCAACCTGCCGGTATTAAATCCCATTTCTACTTAAATCGTTATTTCCTCTTACATGCGGAAATTGCTAAATGGTGTTTAATGCGTTTTCCCTCGTTATATGATTATAAGTGGATTTTTGAAGATCCGATCGAAGTCGTGATAAGATTTCATACTACTAAAGGGATTTATAAATACCATTTTTTCTCTTCCGTGCTTTTAACTATAGTTTCTCCATTTTGACCTATATCGGATGAGATTAAATACGGCTTATATATGTTTGCCATTATTGATCTTCAAGCAATTGTCAACGGCTATTCCATTAAGTCACGTATATATGAACCAATATCATATCAGCCTAGACTAAATATGTTCATTGAAACATAAACCTAAATGTTCTAGGAACTTAGTATATATTAACGAGTGAGGAAAGGAGGGCTTCATGCTAGAGTTTTAGCCTTTTTCCACCACCCCACCAACCCCCACCCCTCCCCCCTAAAGCAATATTTCCAATTTCGCCTCTCTGGTCAGCAGTATTTTAAAGAAGATTGTATGCAAATGGCAAACCGTGAAACATGACATGTATATTCGGATATCTTCCTTTTTTCTTATCTTTCTTTGTCTTTTCCTCTTTTCACTCCCTCCCTCCCTCTCTCCCATCTTCCTTCCTTCCTTCCTTTCTTCCATTTTCCCTTCTTTCTTTTCTTTTCTTTAATCTTCAAAAATTAAACTTTGAAATCTTCCTTAGATAAGTTGAAAAGAAACAGTTTCTTAGCTTTCTTTTCTTTTCTTTTCTTTTCTTCCTTCCTTTCTTTCTTTCTTTATTTCTTTCC